CCCCCAGGGGGGATGTAAATCAGGCAGGGCATGAAGCTGACAGTTCACATCCACCCAGTCCCAAGATGTAGAATGGTGGAGCTGAACCTCTCCTCCGCCATTTGTCTTCATGACATACTGCTTTATTAATTAAGCACCTGAATAAATTTACCTTTTGTTACCCCTTACTCCCACCATTTTGCTCTCTCCTATTGATTGCCCAGATGGAGTTACAGTGTTGGCTTTAAACACGGCCCCCTCTCTGTGTCCATAGAGTGTCTTGGCCAACATATCCAAATAGTTATTCCAGCTCCTCTCTTGGAAGTGTCTTTATGAAATCATATTCAGTACCAGCTTTCAGTGAATTGCCTTGATTAGGCCAAAACTTCTTCCTTCTAAATCTTTTCCAGTTCAGCTTCCATGCTATCACATAGCGCTGTAGAGTGTTGTTAAATAACCCACACACGAAAATTACATCTCAGGACACTCCCATTTGCTCCTGAGTCATGTGACACATCTATTTCTCCCTATTTAATTTGTTGCTCTAGTGTTATTCCAATCAGTGATGATCTGTCTGTGACCTGCAGCTGAGAATCACAGATGATCAGTCGCAGACTTGCAGTCCCGACACATGTGACCGATGCCTGCGGATGCAAAATAAAGTATTTTGGTTCCCGTTTTGTGCCAAAAACAAAATCTAGCAAGTGTGCACTGATGATGAGAAACTATGTATACCACAGTTTAATTATGATGTTCCCTCAAGTATGTTTTACAAGCACACTGCTTCATGTTTTTGTTTTGTGACTACCTCCATACCAAGACTCACATTGCTGCCTGTGATACAAATGTAAGTTGAATTATGCAAAAACTAGAATCTGATCAACAAATGTCTGAAGGTTATGCTGTGTGACGCTAAGTGTGGGTTGGAGTTATCACCTGAACGTTTGAAACTTGCCTGGGTATGACTGATGAGAGGAAACACTTGCTTTGCAGTGACAAGAAGCCAGCGATTGAAGATGGATCCTCTATCATGAAGAAGATAGGTAATGTTTGGAGTTGTGACATATGCAAGGAAGGGTTCCCATCACATCAGCATCTCACTGAACACTGCCAAACGCACGTCACAGACACTTCATTCAAGCATGATGTTAGCGGTTTGCAGCCTTCACAAAGTGAATTGCATGTGAAACATAAGGACACACATTTCAGATGTTCCACATGTGGGAAGCAGTATTCACGGTATCCAGATCTTGTGAATCATCAGCGAAGACATACGGGTAACACGCCTTTCAAATGTGGCAGTTGTGGGAAAGGATTTTCACATAAAAGATATCTTGTGACACATCAAGGAATACATACAGGTGAAAAGCATTTCAGATGTTTTACTTGTGGAAAATCATTTTCACGGAAAGGAAATCTTATGAATCATCAGAGAATTCATAGAGGTGATAAGTCTTTCAAATGTGCCACTTGTGGCCAAGTAGTGTCAGAAAAAGGAAGCCTTTTGAGACATCAGAGAACACACACTGGTGAAAAGCGTTTCAAATGTTTTACTTGTGGGAAAAGTTACACACAGAGTGCAGATCTTGTAGCACATCAGAGAATACATACAAGTGACAGTTCTTTTAAATGTGACATATGTGGGAAAGTGCTATCATATAAGGGGAATCTTGTCAGACATCAAAGAATACATACGGGCGAAAAGCCATACAGTTGTATTACATGTGGGAAAAGTTTCGCATGGCATGCAGTTTTCGTGTCACATCAGAGAATTCATAGAAGTGACAGATACACGTATTTTAAATGTGACATATGTGGGAAGGTGTTATCAGAGAGGGGAAGTCTTGTGAGACATCTTAGAATACACACGGGTGAAAAGCCATACAGTTGTATTATATGTGGGAAAAGTTACACACAGAGTGCACGTCTTGTGGAACATCAGCGGCTACATACAAGTGACAGTTCTTTTAAATGTGACAAATGTGGGAAAGTGTTAACAGAAAAGGGAAGTCTTATCAAACATCTAAGAATACACATGGGTGAAAAGCCGTACTATTGTATTACATGTGGAAAATGTTATGCACAGAGTGCAGATCTTGTGGCACATCAGACAATACACACAAGTGACAGTTCTTTTAAATGTGACATTTGTGGGAAAGTGTTATCACTGAGGGCAAGTCTTCTGAGACATCTTAGAATACATATGGGTGAAAAGCCATACAATTGTATTACATGTGGGAAAAGTTACACACGGAGTGCACGTCTTGTGGAACATCAGAGAATACATACAAGTGACTGTTCTTTTAAATGTGACATTTGTGGGAAAGTGTTAACAGAAAAGGGAAATCTTATCAAACATCAAAGAATACACATGGGTGAAAAGCCATACAATTGAATTACTTGTGGAAAAGTTACACACAGAGTGCAGATCTTGTGGCACATCAGACAATACACACAAGTGACAGTTCTTTTAAATGTGACATTTGTGGGAAAGTGCTATCATTGAGGGGAAGTCTTGTCAGACATCAAAGAATACATACAGGTGAAAGGCCTATTCAGTGTGTCACTTGCGGGAAAAGTTTCTCACAACGTGGAAGACTTGTGGTTCATCAAAGAACGTATACAGGTGATACCCCTTTCAAATGTGGCATTTGTAAAAAAGGATTTACACATAGAGGAGGACTTGCAAAACATCTCTTGACACATGTTGCAAGGAAGCCACTGTAGCACTGCTTTCTGCTCAAGTGACAGTGTGCTGTGAACTACTGAACACGAAAGGTAGGGGCCCTTCATGCATGGTGTTTGTGGGAGAAGGCTGAAGAGGAGGAGGTGCCTTTGAACTTTGCTTTAGAATGTTTCATTCATTAGGAAGACAGAAGAAGACCAGGTAGGGAATGTAATTGAATGTGACACATATGCTTCTGCTCTGTGCAAGATTGTATAAAATATAAGATTCGTACTTAAGGATTGTCAGAGGAAATCTTGTCAGACATTAAAGAACACATACATGTGAAAACAGCAGCTTGTAAAATATGGCAGTTGTCATAAAGTATTTTCAGATAGAAGACCACAGAATAAACATACATGAAAACCCTGTAATTATTCTATTTGCAACAAAAAGTTGGCTGGAGATCCTGAGGACAGCTATGGAAACCATCAGTTAGGATATCTGTTGTCCTGGCTGAGATTTGAACTGGCCAGATGCTAAATTTGAATCTAGAATGTTACCACTGGGCCAAACATTTTGCATTGTACCAGAAGCTTTAGGATTCCATGCTCCTAGCTGATGAATATGGACTGGTGAGGTCTGACATGGGGAACATATGTATTTTTCACTCATATTCAGAGAGCTACCTTCCTTCTAAATCTTTTCCAATTCAGCTTTCATGCTATCACACAGTGCTGTAGAGTGTTGCTAAATAACCCGCACAAGAAAATTACGTCTCAGGACACTCCCATTTGCTCCCAAGTCATGTGACACATCTATTTCTCCCTATTTAATTTGTTGCTCTAGTGTTATTCCAATCAGTGATGATCTGTCTGTGACCTGCAGCTGAGAATCACAGATGATCAGTCGCAGACTTGCAGTCCCGACACATGTGACCGATGCCTGCGGATGCAAAATAAAGTATTTTGGTTCCCGTTTTATGCTGAAAACAAAATCTAGCAAGTGTGCACTGATGATGAGAAACTATGTATACCACAGTTTAATTATGATGTTCCCTCAAGTATGTTTTACAAGCACACTGCTTCATGTTTATGTTTTGTGACTACCTCCATACCAAGACTCACATTCCTGCCTGTGATACAAATGTAAGTTGAATTATGCAAAAACTAGAATCTGATCAACAAATGTCTGAAGGTTATGCTGTGTGACGCTAAGTGTGGGTTGGAGTTATCACTTGAACGTTTGAAACTTGCCTGGGTATGACTGATGAGAGGAAACACTTGCTTTGCAGTGACAAGAAGCCAGCGATTGAAGATGGATCCTCTATCATGAAGAAGATAGGTAATGTTTGGAGTTGTGACATATGCAAGGAAGGGTTCCCATCACATCAGCATCTCACTGAACACTGCCAAACGCACGTCACAGACACTTCATTCAAGCATGATGTTAGCGGTGTGCAGCCTTCACAAAGTGAATTGCATGTGAAACATACTGGCAAAGAGCGTTTCAAATGTTCCACATGCGGGCAACAGTATTCATGGTATCCAGATCTTGTGAATCATCAGCGAAGACATATGGGTGACACACCTTTTAAATGTGACATCTGTGGAAATGAATTCTCACATCGAAGAAATCTTGTGGCACATGAAAGAACCCATACTGGTGTGAAGCCTTTCAAATGTTCTGCATGTGGGAAAACATTTTCACGGAGAGGAAGTCTTGTGAGACATCAAAGAATTCATACAGGCAATGCACCTTTCACATGTGTCATCTGTGGAAATGAATTCTCACATCGAAGAAATCTTGTGGCACATGAAAGAACCCATACTGGTGTGAAGCCTTTCAAATGTTCTGCATGTGGGAAAACATTTTCACGGAGAGGAAGTCTTGTGAGACATCAAAGAATCCATACAGGTGTTATGCCTTTCAAATGTGACATTTGTGGGAAAGGTTTATCAGATTAAGGACGTCTTGTGAGACATCAAAGAACACACACTGATGGAAAGCCTTTCAAATGTTTTACGTGTGATAAAGCATTTTCACGGAGTGAAGATCGTATAAGTCATCAACAAAGACATATAGGTGACACACCTTTCAAATGTGGAAGTTGTGGGAAGGGGTTTTCACGTCAAAGAAATCTTGTGACACATCAGGGAACACATACAGGGAAAAGCCTTTCAAATGTTTTACTTGTGGAAAATCATTTTCACGGAAAGGAAATCTTATGAATCATCAGAGAATTCATACAGGTGTCAAGCCTTTCAATGTGGCACTTGTGGCAAAGTAGTGTCCGACAAAGGAAGCCTTGTGAGACATCAGGGAACACGCACTGGTGTGCTTATGCACTACTGACGTAAGTAGGGAAGTCTGACATCCAGCAACCTCTAAAAATTAATCAAAAGTTAATTTGTCATTTCCGAACATAATCACTAATGACTATTAATGATACATACCTGATATATATTTTCTGTATCAAATTGTATACAGTGGGCACTCGCTTAACGAGCACAATTAGTTCCAGAATCTTACTCATAATGCGAAACACTCGTTAAGCAAAACAAATTTTCCCATATAAATTAATGTAAAATACAATAATGCGTTCCATGCCAAAAAAAAATACAAAAAATTTTATGTATAACGTTTATTCAAACAAAATTATATATACATTGTTAAGGAGCGTGAATCATCTTCATCTTTTCTTCTATGCAGAATGAACCAACCTGGAATGCCTTTCAACACTGTGGATGCCGGTTCTTCTCTTAAACTTCTCGAACCACCCACGGCTTCCGTTAAATGCTTCTTCTTCGGCCGTTGATGATCCTGGCGTCTTCTTAACGAGGTCGGTGAAAATCACTTTCACCTTCTCACAAATGATGTTCTCGTTAATAGTATCGCCTTGCAATTGCTTTTCGTTTATCCATATGAGGAGCAACCTTTCAACATCGTAGAGAATATGTAACCGTTGCATAGATATTCTTGTCACGCCCTTTGAAGCATCTGTCTCCTTAATCTTGCCCTTGTTCTTGAGGATAGTGCAAATCGTTGATGTAGACCGACTGTATGTGCGTGCTAGATCAGCCATGCTCACACCTCGTTCTCGCTTTTCAATGATTTTACGTTTCATTTCTATGGTTATTTTTATTCTCTTATGGCTGTCTTTTTGCGACTTTTTCTTTGGGGACATTTTTGCAAGGGTTATTAAACTTTGCACAAAAAAAAGAAATCACAAATAATATGTCTGAACACAAGTTTGGAAAAATGTGTGATCACAAGCAACGCTAAGATGATACCGGAACGAGTGCTAAACACAGACTGATGTAGCAAGCGCACAATCTGGGACTTCCCCTCTCGTCACTCGTTATGCGAGTCATTTTTTTACAATTTGGTTTGCTCGTTACGCAAATTACTCGTTTTGAGAGGTGCTTGTTAAGCGAGTTTCCACTGCATTTGTAATATAATGTAATCATTTTATCTGTTTCACTGCCAGTTTACTGTGACTCCTACGTGAGAGTTCTGTTATGTGATGCTGTCTTATCATAACCTCTTAGTCACAGTCAAGTGAATAGACCTGCTTTGTATTTGGGAGGTTCTGATTTCAAGTTTCAGCATAGAGACTGGCTATCATGATGGATGTTTTTGTGTCCCTCATTCCTGTCAGATGCCTGTGTAGGATCTGCAGTTAGGTCACAACCCCCTCCTTTCATATCCTTTGAACTATATGCCATACATTCGGTCAGTTGACACTATTTAAAGTGTCATCATCTCTTAGAAATTCTTCGAGGTGCCATCTTGCATTGAGCAGGCACAAGCAAGAAGAAGGGGCACGTGTTTCCAACAGGCTCTCTGGTATTGTGATTTTGATACCCACTGTATGTTGAAAAATATAATCTGGTAACTTTCTAATGATATACTGACTGATCTCCATCATCACTGTCTCATGACAACTTCCCAGGTGGGTAAAATGAACCACAAGAAAAATGTCCATCACAACACTCCAGGACAACCAAAGTGACATAAAATGACACAGACAGAAACAAGGATTGAGTCATCCTTTTCTCAACTTTGAGACCCTGATCCAGGTTTGTCACTTTGTGATTTTTGCATGTTCCAAAATTTAAAATTGAGAATCAAGGGCTATCTTTTTCAAGACGTGACAGCATTGAGGAAACTGTGAACAACACCATTAAGAACATAACAGAAGCTGACTTCATCTCTGCTATGCAGCATGGAGAGTTTGCTAGGCCAAATGTGTTGCATCATAGGGATGTTGTTTTGAAGGGGTCATAATTGATTTAGATGAATAACTGAATAAATGATTTTATACAAAATTAATCTCATTACTTTGTTAACAAACCTCATGTGTTCATCAGGGGAATATGTATGGTCTTTATGCTGAGGTAGGTGGATTTGTCTGGCTCAAGATAGAAAGCAGTTCTGGGGTCTTGTGTGAAAGTTTGCGTTCAGTGAAGTGCAGGGGGGGTTTGCCAGATACCTCAGCAATTGTTAGTATCCCAAGAATGAGTCAGTTCCATTGAATTGGATGCCGTTGATTTAATCAATAAGGCGAAATCATTGTGATAAGCTTCAGTTTTGTCAAAACAGACAAAGTCTTAAAGTGATGGATGACAGTTTTTCGTCGAGGGGAAATGAATGTAATTCTATCGCAGTGGATTGGACAAGTCACTGTGCTAGGGCTGTCCAATGCATATGATGACTGTGCCAGCACACTTTCGTTGCGCCAGTCAAATGCCAAGTGTGGATGTAGACTTAAAATCACTTTATGATATTCACGTGCAGAAATCGAATCTGAATGAAAATTCATAACTTAATTTTTACTTGTGCCCACGTTCAGGTCAGTGGAAAGAGTCAGATATGACCCTCGGGCCGTTAATGGAAAGCCCTACACTGTGGAGACAACGTACCCAAATGTTTCAATACGAAGCAACATTGAGTAATAGCCATCGTCCTCCTTCCGTGCGAAGGCAACTGCAGTACGAGATTTGAGGTTATGTCTTGTGGGATGTGACACGGTTTAGTCTGGGACGTGATATCTCCTTCTTCAGGGTAGAACATTAAGCCGAGCATGGAAAAAAATTTGCAGGGAGGAAAGTAGGGGGTAAGAACAGTGAATGATACCGGGCATTGACAGAGTGTCATACGCATCGAGTCGGTAGCATTCAACCAGCAACTTAGCTCGTAGGAGGGAGGTGCGTAGTTTGAGACTCCGCGACAACATTGACTAGTCTGAGGAATTTTGCGATTTTCCCCAGTCGCTCCAGATGCCACGATCCCTTCCTTCCACACCCTTTTCAATTATTCATTACTCATCCTGTCACATGAAGCTGTGTAGTCTGAGTTATTGATAGTGTCACTAAGTAAACGAAAACTATATAAAAAGATGTCACAAAAATGAGAGTTTAATAATCTGATATGATGACATAACTGCCTTATCTTGAATTGCGACAGATTAGATTACACTGCCTATAAAAACCACGTAAAGATCCCGTACATGTACCTGCGGGCTGACGGACGAAATGTTGCTGCTGGCTACTGTTGCACTCGCTGGCTTTGTAAGTGCTCTTGGTAAGTTGGTCCAAGCATGGCGTTTCCTGTCGCTGCATTTGAGGTTTCACAGCGGTGGATATGAGTAGTGTTGCCTAGAATCCGATGCTGCGCAGCTCAGTGATGCACCGACAATTTCGACATATGTTCTGATTCCATCTTCAGTAGCGAAGAGTAGACGGCAAGCAGATCTGTCCACCTTATATTAGAGTCACTTTACGATTGGCGGTTTACCTCCGAACCGTTCGTCTTGGCGCCAAGCCCCTTGAGTCTCTTTCCTTTCAACTGAATCCTCGCGGTCATAGTCCTTAAGTAATATCTTCTCTGAAGAGAGGATGGGTCTGTCTCTTGTGAAGAGATTTCGCTTTTGTCCAATGTACGTATCGCACATATAGCATGTTACTGAAAATTCTCCCTTGTGCACTAAGCAAGTCCTCTGTTAGTACAGGCTCCGCAAAGCAGATCACATCTGTCTTGTCACTTGAACGGCTGTAAGCTTGACCGCCGCTAAGTTTAAGCCTCTAGCTGCGAACATGTTCAGTCTCATGATTTTGTATGACTTCTGCTTGTTGCCTACACAATTTTATTATGTAATCCTATACATACGGAAGGTTGAAAGTCGTGTGCAAATCGCGAACCGGTGTTCACCTTTGAAAATTTGTAATGGTACGGAGAACCTTGTTTTGCAGAGGCGCTGCAGTTCTAAGAGGAGGGTGTCTGCCGCCAACTCCCAGGCGTGGAAAGCATAAGTCATTACTGATATAATCAATGCTTTATGGAGGATTAGTTTAATGTTGGAGCTTAAACGCTCTGAAATTTATGTAAATATTTAGAATTTCGGTTCGTACCATGAAGGAAACACATTATGTTTCCGCTACAAAGTCCAACTGGTTATTGTTGTTTGGGGAAATAATCGCTGTTTGCTGTTTGTAAGTCATTATGTGGGCAAAATGGGAAAAGTGACAGTATATTTAAATAAAAAAAAATGTTTTCCTCAGGCGCACCTCATAGCATTATCACGGGCGGCGGAAGGATTGTAAACGGAACAGATGCGGCCCCTGGCCAGTATCCATTCATAGTAAGTACAGTCACATGCATATGGCTTCCAAAGTGTGTTCATAAGTGTGTTACGTCATTACTTCCGGAGGAGGGGGGGGGGCGCAGAAAATTTGTTTACAAACTTATATCTAAGCCGTTTATCAATATTTTTGCTGATCGCTCTGTAGTATTCTGAACAGAAGACTATTTTTAATATAATACTAATTTTTATTATCAAATATTTTGTTTTCCTTTTTTTCTTATTTCAAATATTGTTTTTCCAAGAATGCACGAAAGGGGGGGGGGGTCCATATACCTGGTTTGCACCAGGTGCCGGCGCCCTTGGGTGTTATGTTATTACAGTATCAATTACAACAGGGCAAACGAGTCCAATTTCGTGCACTTAACTTTTACTACTTTAACTGCGGCGTTCCACCATTAGTGTTAACACTTCTCCATAGATGGCTCCATAATGAAGTAACGTCATGGCAAAATTTAGAACAAGCAACAACGAGATTCGGACCTTCCGGGATCTAGTACGTCCTACAACGAAACTGAGTAGGTTAACATATTTTTAAATTTAAATGGGCAGATAAAGCCTTTCTTAATTTTATCTGAAGACGGAAAAACAACGAATCTCCGAAAGATTTGTTTCATAGTTTTAAGCTTTAAAACACAAAGGGGCAATGTCTGAAGTAAGGTGCATGTGCATACTAAAATTCATAAGAAATGGTCAATTGTATTGTAATTTACGAGACTAGAGAACGGCCGTTGAAGTCAACAGACAACTGAAAATATTAATGATATAAAAATCGTAATATAATAATATATAGGCTATCTAGTTCCAGGGAAAGCCATGCCATTCCCCCAAGGAATGGAATCATTTAGAAGAAATTTTAATGTCTAGACGCTTGTGTTATAGTAATGCATATTTAGGCTATGATATTGTCCGTATTAAGAAACACCGTCCGGGCAACAGAAGGCATATACGGATAGGGTTCATTCAAATATTGCCCGTTGAAATCAACGGTAAACTGAAAATATTCCTACAGGTATACTGTCTGAGTGCAGGGACAGCCATTTCTGCTTCGCTGGTTAGTGAACTATTACATAACGTCCGAACGTTTCAGCGAAGCGTGTTTTGAAGGTGTCAGTCTCCTTTAGAAAACTTAACAAATAAACCGCTATATAAGATGTTACTTGCAAGATTAACGTCACTAAATTGGTCGGGCCGCAGTTCCTACTGACTGAACAGTGCCTTCTGGAATCAACGATGCATGTACTGCTTTTGTGCAGCGTCACAGCGCATGCGTATGATAACGTGGCTCTGTTCTGTGCAGGCTTCTCTGCAGTACCGCGGCAAACACACCTGTGGGTCTTCTGTTGTGAATGAGTGTTACATCGTGACGGCCTCGCACTGTGTTGACGGGTAAGTCTCTGTAGAAGCTGATAGTCGCTGGGTTAGTTATAGAATCCGCACTAGTCTCTGTCCTGATCCAGATGAATCCAGTCCACTTCTTCATGTTATGGCTGAAGCGGTTCCCGGTTCGAATGTTGGCCTATCCAGACATGTTTTACGTGATTTTCGTCAGTTCCCCATAGTAAAGGCTGAGGCCATGTGCTCCCGTTCCCAGTTGTATAATATTAAACTTAACGTATAAGTATTTGGACCGAAGAGAGATGAAGTGACAGGTTGCAGAAAACTGCATAATGAGGAGCTTCATAACTCGTACTCTTCTCCAAGTATAATTAGAATGATCAAGTCAAGGAGGACGAGATAAACTGGGCATGTAGCACGAAAGGGGGAGAAGAGGACTGCATATAGGATATTCATGGGAAAGCCAGATGGAAAGATTCCACTGGGAAGACCAAGGCGTAGGTGGGTGGGCAATATTAAAATGGATTTTAGAGAGATAGGATGGAATGTTATGAATTGGATTTATCTGGCTCAGGATATGAACCGGTGGAGGGCTCTTGTGAACACGGTAATGAACCTTCGGGTTCCATAAAACGCTGGGAAGCAACAGCAATACTTTCACGCGCCTGAACGTCCACAGAAGAGAACCAGTGGACCTGACAGTTCTGGCTGGAACTGCCGTCCTGGGCCATGGCGGAGTGAGACACGCTGCTCAGCTTATCACGATGCATCCTGGGTACAACCCGGACGCTATGTACGAGAATGACATCGCGCTTGTTAAGGTAAGCCCAACTGAGCTGATCCCCGGGTCAGTAAGTCCTCATTGTTCCCAGAGACAGAAAGCTACGGGTGCAGAATTATTGAAACGGAATTAAACTGGAAATAGTAACAATTTCTTGACGATAGTTCTACGTTGTGCCTTTGTAGACTGTTTCGGAAAATAATTCTTATTCCTTCTTCAAGAAAAATTATGAAACAAATAATTGTACCGCATTCGGGCTCCCTGGCAGACGCAGTCTCAAACCCTGTGCAGTGCCCACGGCCCCGCTGGGTAGGGTTTTCTCCTCTCGTGGGGAAGCAACCGACCGGTTTCTGAAAGCTGGCCAAAATACGGACCAAGAGGAATTTGCGGCAATGAACAACGTCAAAATATAGGTCAACAAGAAGAGTGGACAGAAAGAAAAGTTCCGATAATGGACAGTACCCAAAGTATTAATAAAAAATGCAGTTATACACAATCAGAAATAATCATATTGAACTTGTAACACAACCAATTGTTATTATCTGTTGTGCATTCAGCTGTCCTCCCCGATCACCTTCAACGACCAGGCACAACCAGTCGCTCTACCAAATCAGCTGGAGCCCACGAAAGGGGGTACGCTTGCCACCGTCATTGGTTGGGGTTTTCCATACGTGAGTACGTTGTTATGAACTCCTTTGCTCTGTACACTGTGATAAAGCCACATGCAATCTGCTGTACTGCTTTAGAGGCTAAGATTCAAATTGCAGGAAATTATAATTTCAACTGTTACTTTGTGTGGCTGTGGAGCTGAAGCACCGAGCGGTAACGTTCTGCTATCCTGACTGTGTTTTCGTGGTTTTACCTAGTCCATCCGGTGAGGTAACTGTTGGAGAGCAGGATGCTGGGGAGGTAGTGACGAAATGATGGTGGATGAGAGTGAAGGAACATGTAGCACGCATGGGAGACAAACTCTTGGTTGGAAAAATGAAGAAAACAGATAAATTCGAAGACTTAGGCGTAGATGGGAGGATGATATTAAAGAGTTAAGGATCGGAGTATGCATTGGATTCATCTGGCTCAGCACACTATTAATCGCGGGTTCTTGTGAACACGGTAAGTTTCAAGGAACTTGAAAGATGGGGAACTGTTTTTACTAGCTGCTGAGTGACTACTCTGTAAGAGGGGACTTTTCTCCATACAGTTAGTTACTTAGTTAGAAGCAGGTTCGTTTGTTACATGGAAACAAGTGTCGCTTTCTTGTGAATCCGCTGCAAGAAGGTTTTCATCACGACTGCACTGTTGCCAGACTGACGGAGGCGTGATGGAGAAGCTGCAACACGTGAACATAACCGTGTATGACGACGAGAAGTGCCAGTCCATTCACTCCTTAGAGGTTCACGACACCAACATCTGTGCAGGAGTTCCGGAAGGCGGCAAGGGTCAGTGCAGTGTAAGTAGACTGGTTACCTGGTTACGTGTACTGCTCAGAGCAAAAGAGAACCATACGGCATAAGGCAGATCTTCACGGCGGTAAAGATCCATATTGTGAGCTTAAGGATTATGCCACCGTGTAGTATGGTGGCTGGGTAACCGTTCTAGCAACATAATGGCTGCATCTTTAGGGAAGGGGTTGGTTACACAGAAGTAAGGGTAGAAACGGGTAGAGACGGATAGAGACAGCCAGTTACAGACACAGACTGGCATCAGGACAGGGGCCCAGGAGAGTCCTATGAGAACCGTGAGGCCTGAAAAGAGCAACTACACAAGGACAGGAGGAAGGAATACTACGAGAGAGTTCCTGTCAAGGACCACCCTACTTGTCTTACAGAGGCAGGCACATTCTCAATTTAGCTCACGTATACCCTGAGGAAGGAGGCAGTATGTTTCTCCGAAACGTTCCTACCTACCTACCAGCCTGTACAATGTCATAAACCTGAAAGCCACAATCTAAAAATGGCGTAAGATAAATTCTTCTAAGAATCCTTTCTTGAGAGGACACGCAAGGAGGCTGGTACTGAAGGATACTGAGAGGTGGTGTGTTCGACGTTTCGGAGGAACATTCCAGCTGCGTCTTCAAGATATAATAACAAGATCCAATAAGTTCCTCCGAAACGTCGGTCATATTCCAGAGCACAGTATCCTTCGTAGTGACCGTTGAGACAACCTGAGATCTCGCAAGAATGGTTCTCACCACTCTCACGTACTGTGACCTAGGCTTTCAGTTTATCCGTTTCCATCGGGGTCCAGGGTGAACAGAACTACGATTGTCACGTAACGTACTTCGTGTTACGACACTCTAACTTCACCAGTACATTATAGGTGTGCGCCGACTCCCTGGTGGGTAAGGAACATCATTCCATTAGTTACCATATATTCCTCCGGTTTGAACATACTAGAACTCTGCAATTCATCCGTGGACCGCATTTGTGTGTTCCGTACGGTTCTCATAATAAACAGCGATTATTTCCCTAAACAACATTAACCGTNTCATCCGTGGACCGCATTTGTGTGTTCCGTACGGTTCTCATAATACTAAAACTTTAACTCTGCATTCTGCCCACACAGTGTATTTATGTGTTCCGTGAGGCTCTCACAGTAAACAGCGATTATTTCCCTAAACAGCATTAACCGGTTGGGAGTTGTTATGGAGACGGAGTGTGTTCCCTGTGAGGTACGGATACAAATTTATATGTTATTCAGAACAAATTCCGTCCCCTTAAGAGAGCGTCAGTAGCCTGAGGACTCGCAGAACCTTCAGATACTAAAGTAAGGTCGTGGGTCCCATGTGACTCGGAACCAAGAACCACTGCTGGCGAAGGCCAGCAGCAATTTAGCAGTCAGTCCTTAGGGGGTTAAATGTCTCTCACAACATTAGGTAACTTTACCCTTTTGTCTCTTTGTGTATCTGAAAAGAAAAGTTTGAAATATGTGGTGATTTGCAGGGCGATTCCGGCGGGCCACTGATTGCCGGCGGTCACCAGGTTGGTATCGTGTCCTGGTCTGTGAAACCGTGCACCGTTGCCCCTTACCCAGGGGTGTACACCGAGGTGGCTCACTATGTGGATTGGATCAGAGAAAACAGCAAAGATGCCTGTTGAAGCACAGCGCCGTGTGGGTGACTGAATTCGTACGAGGGTGTAACGTGCTCCTGCGCTGCTTGCACTGTACTGAATGCCGCAATAAACACTGAGTGAAGTAATTCCCCTCAACTCCCCGTTCTCAAACATCTTCCCATATTGTGAGACATCCAAGTTTCACGCCCATACAGAACTACTGGTAAAAAAAGGTAAAAAGCTAAAGCCTACCCTGTAACAGGGGGTTGGAGACCAAAGGGTTATGAGACGTCGAGGCGCCCACATTTTCTAGAAAATCGGTACACAGATGGCGGTGAGGTTGTCAGTCTTACGCGCCAGCCGCCCTTTACCCCCAGGAAGATTCCTGGTGCTCATTTCTTGTAGAGGTTGAGTCGACCCCAGGGCCATAGTGCGGCTGGAAGGATTAAGTCTGTTGAAAAATCCAATGACCTCAATGGGAATCGAACCCGCGACCTTTCGGCTTGTAGCATAGTGCCTACCACGTGCCCACCTCTGTAGCTATTTCACGACACTGTCACTAGCTCAGCCTGTGCCTCGTCGATTGTTGAAATGACTCATGAATGATGCACTGGAAAGGATTTGAAAGGAGGCAGTCGAGGATTGAGGAATACCAAGAAAACTCTCTCAGGATACCCAGGGTCTCGGTCGAGAATCGAACCGACCACGTACCGAATACACGTAGAGAGCGTGTGTACCGGTGCGTTAACCCTCCCTTTATGGTAGTTGCTGATTCTAGAGATATGAGAGTGACTAGTTTGTTCTGAGAATCATACAAAACACGTATATAGATATATGTGGGGGGGGGGTACTTAGAGTTACCACTGCACTTTGCTGAGTTAGAGGAAGTAAATTTGTTGCTCTGCCTCTTCGGCCTTGGCAATGTATTGTTCTGCTTTGCAGATCAAATGGAAATATCCTAGGAACGCGGGGTAGTGGTGGCCGAAAAAGGGGGGGGGGAGGCACAGGCAACGAAGGACTCACCCAACTCCCTCGGGTATTGGGAAATCGTAAGAACTGGGAAAGGATACGTAAATTCTAGCATCCTGAATACTAGGACAGAAAATAAAAATAGACTTAACTGCTGAAATATACGTTCTTAAACAATTTCTCTGACTACCCTCCCCACGGGGAGACAGAGGGTGCCTGCAGGTACTGACACCTCCCCCAGGTGGGCTCCCTCCCTGTTGGAACGGGCTGCACTGGAGTGTGACCGCAGCATTCCTCGCGTGAGCGCTTCCCCGGTGGGGCCAGGGGACGCCGAATGTCACAGCACTTCACAAAACAGCGATATTACGTCAGATTCCATCATCATGCCGCAGAATGTTTGGCATTCTCATGCTGCAGCCACTCCAGGAACTAGTGTAGGCAACCTTACGAAACAAAACTCCTGCGCAAATGAGTCTGAATTTCCCACAGATCTTACGTATAACGGAACTATGTTACAAATAGAATCTAATACATTTTCTAACCATGACGTAACGGCCTACGTCGCTGACTAATGGTGACGGACATCAATTCAGTTTTCAGGCGGACAGTATTGTGTCATGTAATGACCTAAATTGATATACTGTCCTAAAAGTTGCTTAGAAAGGACTAAATAAGACCACACTCTGAGCTAAGGTTTGAACTGTGACCCTCCTGAATACGAGCTCGAACCCAGTACTTCCCGAATGTGAGTAGGGACTCTTACCGTTAGAACAACGTGTTTGGTGTAAAAGATAGCAACCTTAACCCCTTAAAGCACATTTCCCTAAACAGCATTAAGCGGTTGGGCGTTGCTATGGAGATGGAGTGTTTCCTGTGAGGTACGGGCTTCAACATACTAAACTCTGCATTCTGCCCACACAGTGTATTTATGTGTTCCGTAAGGTTCTCACAGTAAACAGCGATTATTTCCCTAAACAGCATTAACCGGTTGGGCGTTGTTATGGAGACGGAGTGTGTTCCCTGTGAGGTATGGATTGAGCTTTTATGTGTTATTTGCAAGAAATTCTCTCTTCACAGCTTCAGTCTTTAGAACAAGGTACTGCACTTTGATCTGAGCCAAAAGGCCGAGAAGTAATTCAACATCAAAATTTCGCCTTAATATAGCCCTCCCAACGTTAGCAAAAACAAATAAACAAAAATCCGATCATATGCTCTATCTTTACCAGAAGGACAAGCGGGCACTGCCAGGGAACCTTCAAAATCGGAGATATAAAGTCTCCCCCCCCTTTCAGTCTTTAGAACGATAACTCCCAGTGACATCATTGCACCACGGAGTTCGGCATAGAGACACGGTGTTTTTGACAACCGATGCAACGAATTACTTTCCCTGCCCGTAACGGCCGTATATTACGTGCTGCAGGCAGGCCTTTATACAGTATTGAGAAGCCGAAGCGTAAGAACAATGGGATATGCCATGGAAGGCGTCTGAATGTCTCCCAAGAGGAAACTGAACTCCGCGGAGCCGTAAATACGCGGGAAGAGGAACAAAAAGTGGGCAGCCGACCGTCTGAACCGAAGGCGAATCATTACCAAGCGAATGAAAAGCAACGAACAGATACATCAGAGTTGAACTACCCCTTTGAAGCCTGAAATCCATCTAAATAATTAAATCCGTGGAGCTGCGCGCTTCTTCATAAGCTGCGATTTTTTTCAAGTATTTAAGATATTCTCCGAAACCCGAAGGTTCACTACCGTGTTCACGAGAGCCCGCCACCGGGACCAATCTTGAGCTGAAAGCATTGCGTCTGCACCACGCACAACATACATACATTTTATGTTTATGTGCTTATCTTCAGGCAATCCACTGCACTGTGCACTTTGGCAATACTCTTAAAGTACGTCGTTGTTATTATTATGAATTTTGGTGTTATAGGATGTCTATTCTTCCTATATTTTGTACTGCGGCCGCTCTGACCCCACTGGGTGTGCCGCTCCCTCGGCCGTGTGTATCCTGTGTTGATCTGAGTTCCTTGTACCCGAACATTTTAGTGCGGATTAGTGTCACCTAAATCCACATTGATATTGCTGCATTATAGACGGGAGAAGACAACAAGTGGTACTTCAATGCAACAGGATAATACTATTATCAATAGTTCCTTCACTCATTTTGTTTTGGCCGTAAGCCGTGCATAATTCGCGATGAATTTCCGCAACTGGCGAGATTATCAGTCGCAGGACACATCATTACTCACTCTGTAGAGACAAGAACAAACACTAGGTGACCAGTTATTTGATAATTTGAGAGGCAGAGTCGTAACGCTACCTCGCATGCGCGAGCTCTCCCCCTCTCCTACATTAGTTGCCTAAAATAAACGCAGTTTACTTTCGGAATAGAACTCGAATGTCCTGCCAATCTCGTCATCCGTGATGTGATCACCTCAGTAGTATTTTACCATGAGTGCAAATTTTGAACATCCTCGTTAGGCAGTTTTGTCGAGTCTTCTGTTTCTTCCGCCCTCTCCCGTTCAAATATTCTCCTCATTCACCCGTTTCCCAAAGCTCTCTCAATCTATGTTGATCCCTCAATGGGAGGGGCGATGTGTTTCAGCCATACAAAACCAAGACCAGAATTACATTTTAGTATATCTACGTTCCTGCGCAGCAGCTGAGAAGACAGAAGGTTCTGAACTGGCGGGCAACAAGCATTCCGCGAATGTAGTCTGTCCTTGATACCTTCCTGAATGCAATTTTGATTTGTTACTATCATTCTGAAATATATGAACTTCGCCACAATTATCAGGGATCTCTTACGGTGTATACATATCGTCATTGTTGCCTGCATTCTGGTAACGACACATCAACATATATAATTTATAAATTCAGTTCACATACATACACTGTGTGGGCAGAATGCAGAGTTTTAGTATCTTGAAGTCCGTACCTCACAGGGAACACACTCCGTCTCCATAGCAACGACCAACCGGTTAATGCTGTTTAGGGAAATAATCGCTGTTTATTGTGAGAACCATACGGAACACACAAATACACTGTGTGGGCAGAATGCAGAGTTTTAGTATCTTGAAGTCCGTACCTCACAGGGAACACAATCCG